AACTTGCTACAAAGTCAAATGGCTGGCAAGTAACAGCTGGCACTGAACACAGTAGCCCTTTGTGACCACTAAGGTCACCAAAGCTGCTGCCTCCCTGTCTTGTGGTCACCTAGGAAGAGTCAGGCAAAGGGATAGGACTTGGTAGGTAGGAGACAGCCATCAGAGTAGGGTGGCTTATTGGAACACCCAGAGTAGTCTGCAGAGCTGAGAAGTCTCTTCCGCCCATATCCAGGCCTCCAAGACAAGAGAATGTTTCTCAGGCATGATGCTGGCAGGCAGGCCAAGGAACCTGAAACCCAGACCTAGAGACGTGCCCTGGGCTGCAGAACGAGGGGATCCAAACCACAAATCTGTGGAGATGGGCAGAGCTCTGGCTCTGTGCCCAGAGTTGGACTTTATGTGACCTCCTAGCTGGCCAGCTGACACCCAACAGCCGGGCAATAAAGAGTCTGTGGGTGGAAGAGCTACCACGAGGGGTACCAACCAGACGCCAGCAGTGTGCCTCAGGAAGAGACCCCGAGTCAGGGCGTCACAGAAGCCCCCTCCATGCGCGCAGGAGCGCTGCCCAGTGGTGGCGGGCAGCCGAGAGCCTCCGCGTTATTTTCCTCACCTGCTTCTGTACCCCACACCTGTGTCTCCCTGGCAAGCAATGAGGCCTGTGGGTGCCAGGCGCCATGGCCAGGCTCGCCTCAGCCTTTGGCTGGCTGTTGTTAGTTTTCCTTCTCTAAAAAATATAGCATAAGCATAACTAGAGAGAGAGAGAGAGAGACGGAGCTAGAAGGGTCTTATAAGAGTCATGAGGTTGGGAAAAAGCCATCAGAAGCGTTGGGTCTGGTGGAGTCATTTAAACCCTGCCTTCAGTGTGTAGTCTGGGAAAAGACCAACTATACCATAGATGTGCTTTGTAAGGTGTTTGGGGAGGGTCTTAGTGATGGATCTTGGACGCCCCTCTGCCCTCTCAGAGACTGCCCTTGGACGAAGCCCTCCTTGGGTGAACACCCAGCCCCATGAATAGCCTCTCTAAAGTACACACACACACATACACACACACACACACACACACACACACACACACACACACTATGACCTTGACCCTCTCCTGGGCTACTGTTGGCACCATTAATTCTGTGTTTGTCACTCCTGTATCAGACCCCTCTAGGGATGGGGCCAGCTGGAGTGTTCCCAGCCCAGAGCAGAACATCTAGCAGGTACGGGATGAATGCACTCAGGTGCTGGTCACCTTCAGCGCATGCAATCTGACATTTCCTTCTGCTGTGACATCCTGGGGTTTTGTTGGTATAGTAATTTTTACTCGTCTGCCTTAGAACTCCTTTTGGAGGAAGTTCCCTTCTAACCCAGAAAGCATGTGCTCCTGAAGGGAGAACGCTCTAAGAAGTGGTATGCATTCTCAGTTTCCTAGCCAGTGGTCCAAGGCAAGGCCTCCCACCTCTAAGGATTGCCAGTGTGTCCTGTGGCCTTTTTCTGGCCTCCTTACACAAGGTTGCCTCATTCTCTCTAGATTCCCAGGAACTCCTCCCAAAATGGAGGTGATGGGCCCTCAAGGGTCTTGCCTGGCCTCTGCTGTCTTTGGCAATGGTTTACACACACGAGAACCCACTGCCTGCTCTCCAGTCCACATTCACAGCATCTCTCCACCCAGGTGTGGGGTTAGCACCCTAGACCTGTGTTAGCTCTGTTGTTCCCAGGCGGCTGTGCCGACCACGCCCCTGGGCACTGGGGAAGTCAGCATGTGTCCGTCGCTGGGCCAGGTGCTACTGTCCTGCCTGCAGCTCAGCAGGGGCAGCCAGGCCTGAGAACAAGAAGTGCCCCCCCATGGGTGCTGGGCAGGAGGTGGACTGCTGAAGCAGTCTGGATGTCCAGAGCACTGGAGGAAGGCCTGCTTGGAGGGCACCTGGGGGAGTAGTAAGACAGCAGAGGGCGAGATCTGTGCTTTCAGTTCCACGCGGTTGGTTGCTATCACAGGGCTTGAGGATGAGGTTCCCATGGAAACCACCTGGGGCCCATCTTCGGCTCAAACCATCTGCCCTGGACCTTGGATCATTTGAGGTGCGAGGTCATGCTGGTGGGTCTGGGCTGGAGCAAGGGTGCCGAAGCAGACCGTGGATAATCTGCAGGCTGATAGACCCACTGGCTGCGGGTCACTAGATTCTGGTGGCCTGGATTAGCCCCTCCTGGATCCTGGCCGGCTGAAGTGGGCAGGTCGTTTGTCTACCTGAGCCTCACTTTCCTCTTGATATCTCGTGAGACTCGAAAGCATTGTGCCTGTGTCGGCCTGTAGCCTGCGCGCCTGCCAAGGGGATCTATCCTGGAGAGTAGCTGTGGTCCCATCTACATCCTAGGTTCTCAGACTTCTAGAAAAAAAGAAGAAAAAAAAAACTGGTTTTCTGCTAGTCCTTCTGGAGTCCAGGAGAAAGTCGCGGCGCCTCTCCTGCCCCCTGGTGGTTAGTGGCAGAGATGCAGGCCGCCGCTTGCAGCTGGCGAGTGGGTGGCTGGACCTCCTTGTAGGGCTCCGAGGCTGGGAGGCAGGGATCTATACTAAAGAGCCGGCAATGGGGATCAGCTGCAGTCTTGAGGCCCCGGCCCTGGAGGATGTTGCTTCCCATCTCCAGGTGTCTTGAGGTGGACCATCGCCTGAAGCTGGGACGATAACAGTCGTGTTGGCACTACGCCTGGCGGAAAAGAAATAAAAAGACCAGGTTTCAGGAGCCAGAACCCGCTCCTAGCCCCAAGCTGCTGGCCGTGGTGGAAGCAGACCCCACACTGCTCGCCCCGCTGGGGCTGGCTGGAGGAAGGATGTGAGTGGGCTGTGAAGAGAGGGACGCATTTGGCCACAAGGTCCCACCTGGGCCCTGGTTTTCCAGGCCCAAGCGGCCAAAGCGCACCATCTCCCTCTCACGTGTCCACATTGGCAGGGCCCTGGGAGCTCAGCTTCTGGCTCTTCCCAGGGCCCTCCCTGCTGAGTGACCTGTCCCCTGCCTGAGCCACGGGCGTCGCCCACCCACCGCCTTGGCGGCCCACCCACCGCCTTGGCGCGTCTGCGCTCACTCGGGTGCCTCAGAGCAGCCGCGCTGCTCCGCACATCTGCGGTTTCCTCCTGCGTGGCTCAGAACAGTGAGCAAGGGACCAAGATGGGATGCAGGGGCAGTCAGTTTCCTCCTCGCCATTGGAGGGAAAGGGAGGTGGTACTCATTATTGCCACCTCCCCGGCTGTTCCATCTCCCTCCACGTAGCCCACCCCCAGGTACAACCCGAATGGTCTAAAATAAATAAATAAAAATAAAAACAATTTACAGGGAACCCAGGTTGGCAGCAACAGGAACCGATCCCCAAGCTCGGATCTACAGCCTTGGCAGCTGTGTCCCCCAGCACCTTTTTTTTTTTTTGCTTTCGCATTTTGTTTTGTAATGATCCAGCCGCTTTCTGCAGCTCTCGGCGTCCATGCCCCGGGTGGGAGGGGACAGGCATGCTCGCCATTCTTTCGCCCTCATGCGTGTCTCCTTTCTTCGCCTTTGCAGAACCACACGATGAGCCAGCACGCACAGTGAGGGACCTCGCGACAGGACACCTCTCCGCAGAAGGCTTGCCGGAGACGCCGTGGGGAGGGCCATTTGAACATTACATCCAATCAAAGTGTCATTTGCAACCCAGATGTAAAACTCTAATGATTTGGCCATGAGGCGCTGCTATTATAAGCAGCTGGAAATGAATATTAATGGCAGAGATTAAAAGTATTCCATGCTCAGTGTTTTTTATTGTCCTGCTACAGCTAGTGTGCTTTTAGAGTTTTCGCCGCAGACTACATTTCTAGTGTTAGAGAAACCTGCTTTTTGAGGCTATTGTCCTTTGTTCCTTCATGTATTATATTGATAGTTTTTTTTAAGGATTAGTGTGATTTCTTTCTTTGCTTCTTTTTTTTTTCTTTCTTGTTTTTCTTTCTCCCCCTTCGGTTAACTACTTTTTAATTGCAATTCTAGGTAATTGTGCATCGTGATGTGATTGCTTGGCTATTGTCTGAATACTTCCTTTTAATTTTTTAATTAAAGACTAATGCTTTGGTTGGATTTGCCAGTTCACCGGACAGTGATTAAAACTCTGTAATGAATATAATCGGTTTCCGTGCAACTGGATGGTCTGCTTTTAAATGTGACTTGATCTGACTGCAGTAACTAGTTCAGCTCAATAAAGGGAATCCATGCGATCAGCAACATTGCCTGGTTCTCTCCTCTTCAACCGCAGGCCAGAGCGTTGTGTGTGCCTCTGGGGAGTTCCCGTGGGCTCACACAGACCCCTGGGGACTCCATACAATAGAAAAAAGTGCCACAGGTCACTGAGAGGAAAAATCCACAAGATCAAGTACTCCGCTCTTGTCATGTCAGGATAGGGAAACTGAGGCTCGGGGGCTATGGGGCACATTTCAATGTTCCCTGCCGTATGTCAATGGCCGACTCTCATCCCTTGCTGCTTCTTTCTTGGGATGGAGGCAGATAGGCTGATGGTTAGCGTGCCAGGGCGGCAGAAACAACTTGGGTTCTACTTTGGGCCAAGGCATAGGATGTGAGGGGAGGGGACAGCAGCTACCCAGCCGTGGGAGGTCTAGAGCTGGTGGTTCCTGAGTGGAACGAGGTGGAAATAGCAGGTTCCCAACTGAGACCTGTGGCCCGGGCGAGGACTAACGCTCGACAAGGAAGTGCTCCAGTTGCAAAGTTCCAGAAGACTGTTCAAGGACTATCTGCACACACAAGCCCCCCCCCCCCGAAAGTGGTGGGAACACCTAGACTCTCACTGGCCTAATGACCCAGGCTCTGCCGCTGCCTCTGGCCTCACCCCAACTCATCCCTCTGCGCTGGGAACCCTTCCTGGCTCGCGTTTCACCCGGGGCAAGGAGAGCGGAAGTGAAGCAGACAGATTGCACCTAATTATAATGTGATAGCGAGTCAGCGGAATTTGGAGCAATTAGGCTCCTCATCTTCTAGGGGGATTCTAGCTCGGGGTTTCTGGTGACCAGTAGGAGACCCTTCTAGGGGGTGGCGCTTCCCAGGGTACCAAGCGAACTTTGGCCAGAGAATTCACTCAGTGAGTTGCCCCTGCCCATAGAATGGGAGTGTAGCCCTTGAAAATGCAGGTGTCCTCAAGATGGGAAACCTCAAAATTCAGTCCTGGGGTGTGTGTGTGTGCGTAGGGGGTGGGGGTTGGTGGCCGTTTCTGGAGAGATCTCAAAGTTGGGTAGGTGCAAAGGTTTCCAAGGCGGCCGCTTTGGGCCAGGATGCTTTGGTCGTCCGCTGGCAGTGCGGAGGCTGTCCAGCCAGGACCCCGAGCTTACCACCTCGCTCCCTCAGGCGCTCTCCAGCCCCGGATTTATCCGAGCCCCACGCAGCCCAGGTGAGCCCTCAGTAAGTACCAACAGAAGATGTGATTTGACGGTTGGTGGCGTAGGGCTAAATTAGTCACTGCCCCCATTAAAAATACAGCGGGGGGTTTAAGAGCTTTTCACGCCGAGTGGGAATCAGCGGCGAAGCCGGCTGCTGCCTTGGGTAAGGAGAGAGGCGGCCTGGGGGACGGCGAGGTAATGAGGTTTATGGCGGTGACAAGGCTGCCAGGGAACCCCGCCGACTCCCCTCGCCCAACCCCATTGTTCTCCGCTGGCTGCGCCCCCATCGCGGCAGCTGAGCGCCCCTTTCCACTTCCTGCGGGATGGGGGCTGGGACTCGCCTTCGCCGCTGTCAAGCGGCGTTGGGGTGGGGAGTGGGGGCACGGCTGTAAATCAGTGACTTAGAGCTGAGTGAGCTGGTTCTCCGCGCAGCCCAGGCAAGTGTTTTGGTGCCTGTGGCCCGGCTGTGAGGAAAGTGAGACCACGCCTTCTCCCCAGGTCACCTTTAGCCTGGAGGGTGTCGGGAACCAGCCGTGTCATTTGCATTCTGCTTTGGGGGTGGGTGTGCAGAAGCCTGCTTTCGTGGAAGGTGCTTCTAGACGTGCAGGCCATTTTATTCGCCTCGGTCTTTGGGCAGAGGGATTTTGTCCAGGCTTGGAAATGACCCAGGAATCTTGGGACGCATGTCCTTATTCTCCGAGAGCTTCTGGAAGCAGAGCAGCAACAGCTTTGGTCACCTGAGAAGCTGCCCTAGGAAGGTCTTTAGTGCGCCCCTCCCCCAACCGTAGATTGGTCCTTCTAACTCCCAGTGTGACACTATCAAATTCCCATCTGATTTTCCTCCCTCCTAGTCTAAGGGTGAGTTCTTCGGCGTGGGGTGACGAGCATTCAAACTTTGACCTAGTTACCCATTATCACTGATCCATCTGTCAGCTGTTGTCTGATTGTTCCTGAGTCCCAGACAGGGGCCACAGCCCAGGAAGTTCATGTGCCCCTTGCCCTTCTGCAGCTCAGAATCATTTGACAACTTCCTTCCAAATAAGCCAGCCACTAGACAGCCAGCAACACACAACCACTGCGCTATGACGGTGAGAGACAGGAGCTATGAGTGATAGGTGGAGACCCCGCGTTTGTGTTAGGGCTTTGTCAAAGGGTCATGGCATGAGTGACCTGAAGCATTAAAGGAGCCAGCAGTCACAAAGAGGAGGAAGAGGGCTCTGTCTGTGAAGAGCTCTGAGCTAGAAGCAAGGTAGAGGTTGCCTTAGAGGTCTCCACAACTTCCTTTCTACTTTCGGTGGTCTAATAGCAGCCCAGAGAAGTACATATCTGCCCAAGGCCACACACTGGATAGATTTGCAACTGCCCCTTCGGTGTCCTGCCTTCTGCCTTACATGTCTGACTCCCAGCAGTGTGTTTATTCAAGCATGACGATGACGATACTCCATCAAGCGACACAGAAAGACTGTGGGTTCCCCCTTTCCTGAATAATAAAGGGACTGACTTCAGGCTCTCTCCACCTTGGAGAGAAGCAGGTATAGGTTATATTACCCTATTCCTAAAGCTAGATGTGTCCTTAGTATCAAGGCGGCATCAACAAGGATCATGAAAATTGTAGGAGCTGTCTTTAAGGAGAAAAAAATGAGTTCACTACCCTTCCCGATGGTTGGAATGTGGATTCAGTAGCTGGAGAGCTGGGTGCCACCTTGCGTGATCAGGTAGGCTATCTCGATGAGAGCACTGAAGTCAGCTCCTTTCCCGTTGTGTGCTTATCGGAACAGGTTGGAATTACCCTTGGAGAAGAGACGCTATGAGAAGATTTGCCTCCCCAGTGCTTGTAAGCGTCAAAGCAGCAAGCATGCACAGAGCCAGTCACTAGTCTCCAACTTACACTTGCTTTTGGTTCTCAGGAGAGAAGGATCAAGAGTGACACACCCCAAACATGTGAGAACAGGAGAGGCCTGAGACAGTTGCCAAACCCCGAAAGGTTAGAGCTTTCTCTCTGGGTCTCTCCAGCTAACTGCAGCAACTTGGTGTCCTCTCCCTCCTTCCTCCATTCATCTCATCGTGCTCTGGTGGGTTTCATTCCCTTCTGGTTCAGGGTGAGCTCTTGCTGGGCACGGGTCACGGGAATGCTCACTTCAAGAGCAATATTCGCTGGTCGGTGGTGGCGCACACCTTTAATCCCAGCACTCAGGAGGCAGAGGCAGGCGGATCTCTGAGTTCGAGGCTGGGCTGGTCCGACAGCCTCCAAAACAATAGAGGAACCCTGTCTCATAAAACGAGAGAGAGAGAGAGAGAGAGAGAGAGAGAGAGAGAGAGAGAGAGAGAGAGAGAGAGAGAGAGAGAGAGAGAGAGAAAAACCAAAACCCCCAATATGTTAAAATCCAAACTGGTAGATGCCAGACCCTTTTGTAAAACAGATTTTAAATACCCAATGCTGTGCTTATTTCACAATTGGTTATTTTGTCCAGGGGTTTTATTTACCTGTTTTCTGTTAATGCTGATTTTCAAAAATATTGTATGAAAATAGTCTGCTTTCTTGCCTTCTGATTTTGCATTTGCTTAACTTTGTAACTTAAGTAAGTGCTTCATTCATAAGAGTAATCCAGCACTCTGACCCCCGAATTTGGTAAGGTGCTCCAAAGACCAGAGCTCTGATGAGGTCTGATGGTGGGCCCACCGATGGGTGTGCACACGCTTTATACCTGTCTGGCCACTGGGACATGTATCTGTCAGGACAGGCTGGATTATGGCATGGAACAAAAGGGTCCACATTTTCAGTGGCCGACATCATGTATCGAATCCCCAGGGACCTTTTCTTCATCAGAGTTGTTTAGAAGTCTGGCTCAGAGAGCAGCCAGTCCTGTAAGCGTTGTCACTAATCCAGGAGGGGACAGGAGGGTCCCAGTGGCAACTCAGTGCTCTTGACTGGGGAGTCTCTGTACTCCCTCAGACCCACCGCAACACGTGGCCCCACGTCAGGGGTGTGTGCGTGTGCGTGCGTGCGTGCGTGCGTGCGTGTGTGTGTGCCTGGCATCTAGAAGAGGGGTTTAGGAACTGTAAGACTGAAGAGCCTGACTCAGAAAGCTGGGTGTCGCCAGTGCGGGCCCACACTCCACAGCTGTGTTTATTTACCTGAATGAAGGTCAAGAAGGATAGCCCAGGACAAGAGAAGTGGGCTCAAAGACAGCTGGGAGTCCCAACCGTCTTGGGTTCATTGCATACTGTGCCGGCTCAAGCCAGGCCGTGCGGTCCGCGGCAAACAATACTCAGAGACAAGCTCGCAGAGTTGTAAATCTGAGTCCTATGCACTCAGGCCCAGGCGCTGTCCAGAACACCACGTGTCCCTCATGCAGACCAGGAGACACAAACAACACCGCCCGGGTCCGGAGCTCCGAACTTCCCCCGCTGGGGTACCCTGCTGAGTCAGCTCCGCCCCAAGGCCTGCCCTCTGCTTCAGGAGCCCTGATTGGTCCGGTCCAGGCGGCCCCGCCCACCGGTGTCCGCGGCCGCTGCTCCTGCGAGCTGAGCGTGGGCTGCGCGGTGTGAACGTATTTGTGGAGTTATTAATTACTGAAGGGCACAAGCCGTGCTTCTGTGCATAAAAATATGTTTGAGCAGTTTCTACTTAAACTTTAAAGAGAACGTTAATCAATTTTATTTTAACAAAATGACCTTAAGCAGGGGGAAAAATTGGTGTTATTTGCCCAAACAGGCAAATTAATTTCTCTCTCTTGAGAAATCTGAGAAGCTTCTAGAAATAGCTATGCATAATTTACACCTGCCGTGGCCGCTTCTAGTTTTAACGCCAAGCCCAGTCACGGTCCCACCCAGTCATATAACAACACAAAGGAATCCTTGCCAAGGCCTTGCTGTGTCCAGCAGAATCACCTCGGGTGACCCTGGAGAGAGGATGCTAAGACAAAAAGGTCGTGGAAGTCTGTGAGGCCCCCGCCAGCTGCGTCAAGATCGCTGGGGAGATGAAGACGGCTGTCAGGCACATCCTAGCCCCCCATGTCTCCATGACAGACACCACTCCCCAGAGGATCTGCTGGCTGTTTCTTCGATAGGTGACCTCTGCCTCATGGTCCACCTCAAGGTTGAAGGCTGCGAGGCCAGGCACCCAGACTGATGGAACTGTGCTGTTTCCGCTTCTCTTTGTAGTATCATAGTAGCTGTAGTAGTCATAACATTGACCCCCTCCGGTCTAATGGAATCCCTCCAGTCCCAACCCCCAACCCTCCATGGCATCTTTGCTGTGAGATCCCAATAGAGGAGGTTCCAAGAGGGCACAGTGTGGTCTTTAATCTCTGCTGGGTGCCTAGTACCCAGAACGGTGCCAGGTTATAGTTAAGTGCTCAGAAAATGCTTGTTCAGAATGGATCAGCTGTCCCTTACTTAGTGGATTAGGAGGTCCCAAAGAGAAAACTGCATTTGCTCAGTGTCTTGGTTAGGGTTAGGGTTAATATTGCTGGATGAAACACCATGACCAAAAGTAAGTTGGTAGGAAAGGGCTTATTTGACTTACACTTCCCATCATAGTCTATCACAGAAGGAAGTCAGGACAGGAACTCAAACGGGGCAGGATCTTGGAGACAGGAGCTGATGCAGAAGCCATGGAGGAGTGCTGCTTATTGTCTTACTGAGCCTGCTTTCTTACAGAAAGTTTCTTGTAGAACCCAGATTCATTAGTCCAGGAATGGCCCCACCCACAGTTTTCTGGGCCCTCCCCACAGGCTTCACTATACCCTGATCTTGTGGAGGCATTTTCTTAATTGAGGCTCCCTCCTCTTTGATGATAGCTTGTGGCAAGTTGACATAAACTAGCTAGCACACTCTGTCCCTACCCTGACACCTTCCTTAGATCAGCTGGTGAGAGTACAGACTCCTCTCCCTCTGAAGCCGTCCTCATCTAGAAGGTGTTCAATGAGTGGCTGTTGAAAGACTGCACAAGTGTTTACAGCCAGAACCTCTATCCTGAGGCTGACTGGAGCAGGCTGAGGCAGGAAGTGGGCTGAGGGA